GGTGCTCCACTATATACATGTACGTAGGATGATTCCGACCATTAAGAGTAGACAAAGGGTGGTATGTTTAGAGCACGTGAAGCTCGTGTAAAAAAAACTATTCAAAAAGTTGTGGTTACTATTATAATTTTTATTTCAAAAAATCTGATGACAATAATTTTCTGTTAGCCACTCCACTTAGCCAGAACACGTTGCAAAATGCAGTTTCCAACTACGGTTTTATGAATAAAATAGACACAATTTATTTTGACAAATGTCACAATGTGCAGTGCGGCACCGCACCACCATCACAAAGCTGTCCGAAATGCACCCTAAAATAATAAAAAAAAAGAGTATTCATTGTACAATTTCAACTCTATAAAATATAAGAGGTTGCAGGCTTGCAACTCAAATGATCTTTAGTTCAAAAAATTTTTATCGTTCTTCATTCTTCACAGCAAAAAGTTAAATGTGTAAGACTAAATTTTTTTTTTTAACAAAGTTTATTGATTGATTATTCAATTAGAGGGACTTAGATGATTGTTATTTTATCCATGAGCAAAGAAGTTGTTTAGGGCAGATGTACTATTTCTCCATTAGCTTATGGGTGAGTGAGAGAGTTAGATGAAAATAAAAGAGAATCACAATGCATACGTTGCTAATTCATAGTTTTACTAAAAATTGTAGCTTTTATATAATGGAAAATTAACATAAGTTTTAGATAAGATAAAGCAAGAATTGTCCAAAATCTAAACTTAACCAATAATTTAGATAATATGATAATCCTAACCTTACAAATATTTCTATGGAGACATAGTTTTTTTGCATTGATTTACACTACTTATATTGAGCGCTTATCATCTTCATTTTTTTTTAAATATTGTACATAAAAAATATGAGCACATGAATCTCGATGAAATTCAATGGATCTCTTTAAGTGGACATCAAAGGACTGCATCAAAGTAGTCAAAAGATGGGGACACCATTCGTCATTTCCTTGGTCGAAACCATGGGTCAATGATGCGGGCGGTTTTGTGTTATACGTTGTAGATATATTTCAACATTAAAATACACACACAACAACACTAATAGTAAATATACAGTTCAATCCCAATAAAAATAAGTTTAGTATAAATAATTTTATCTTTTAAAATCTCTAAGCTACCAAACCCGCAATAATAACGCAAGTATATGTATCACTTGAGTAATAAAGGGCTCTAATAGAGTTCTAAGTATCGATCCCACAGGGAGTTGGAAATTCTTATGGTTATAACATCAAATACAACATTCAAACTATAAAACTTAAGTAAGAAAAACAAATCTAAAGTAAATTTAATCTGTGCTAAATGCAATGCAGTTAAAAGAACTAAGTTAACTTAATTAATTGCTAGACCTCAAAAGTAAACTTATAAAGACAACAAATTTTTGAAACGAAGAGTTCAAATTTAAGAAAACATTCTTCCCATTTACAATGAGTTTATGGAGTGTAAAAAAATTAAAATCATTTAAAATAGATATAAAATTGCCAAATATGAGTAATCCTATTCTTTACCCACTGAGAGTACATAAAGAATAATGAGCATTCCAAATTTTGGTCCTAAACCTGTGATTAGGTTGAGAGGATACTGGCTGTCACTCTAGAGCTCTCACTTCTCCCTCACCCGACGACTAACAATCTCGCTTTAGTTTCCAAGCAACTGGATAAAATTGAGGATTTTAAATTGTCACCATAAAATCTCAAATTTTGTGCCCATCAAAATATATTTCCCTATTTATTTTTGCGCAACCCCATGGATTACATTCTCACCCATGAAATTGAATGTGACTCTTACCTTGTTGTAGAAAGCATAACCATTTTGGTTCGTATGTTTCTCAACAAATTTTAACATTTCGATTGACCAGATCGAAAAGTAAATGAAGATCAGATTTTGAATCATCACAATTTATTGACATTTAAAACCTTACAAAACAAAACTAATTATTTACAAAACCATAGCTCATTGCAGTGAGAAGGATAAAGAAGACTACTCAAAATTCATGAGACTGAGAGTGCATAAAGAACAATAACTAATCCAGAATTTGGTCCTTAAATCCATGGTTAGGTTGAGAGGATACTAGCTGTCACTCTAGAGCTCTCACTTCTCCCTCACCCGACGACTAACAATCTCGCTTTAGTTTCCAAGCAACTGGATAAAATTGGGGATTTTAAATTGTCACCATAAAATCTCAAATTTTGTGCCCATCAAAATATATTTCCCAATTTATATTCACGCAATTTCATAGATTATATTCTCACCCATGAAATTGAATGTGACTCTTACCATGTTGTAGAAAGCATAACCCTTTCGGTTCGTATGTTTCTCAACAAATTTTAACATTTCGATTGGTCAGATCGAAAAGTAAATGAAGATCAGATTTTGAATCATCACAATTTATTAACATTTAAAACCTTACAAAACAAAACTAATTATTTACAAAACCATAGCTCATTGCAGGGAGAAGGATAAAGAAGACTACTCAAAATTCATGAGAATGATATGATAAAATATGAATTTCATATATAAAAACAAGTATACAAAAAAAATAAAAAAAAAAAACAGAACTTATCTCACACTTCTTCCATAGCAAATCTTAAGAATTTCTCTTTAAGCACTTTCTCTTTTTACAATCACACTCAATTCTCTCTTAGAAGTGTAATGAAGAAAAAATCTCTCACCTTTCATCTCCTCTCACAACCGTAGAAGAAAATCCTCTCCTCTCCAAGAATTCTCTCTCACGTCAAAACCTTCCTCTCCAACTCATGCCTCCCTCTCTTCCCTAGACTTCTCTCACGCCAAAACCTCCCTCTCAAACTCACGCCTCCCTCTCTTCTCTAGACTCCTCTCCTTATTAATTAGGGCCAGCCTTCTTTTAAAAGGAATTCTAGATTTCTTTCAATTTCTCCCCCAAAAGTCACATCTTTTAATACCAAGAGACAAGTTCCTTCATCTAAGAGACATATCTCTTCATTAAAGAGTCTTTACAAAGTGTATAGAAGCATTGAACCACTCCATGAGATGTTTGAATTATTTGAAGCCTTCAAAATCTCTCAAAAATAGTCACGAACTGTCTTACTCCGTCTTAATTCATCTCTGGTTCTTCCGTGCCAGGTCTAGCACCTCTGGCGCTAGCCTAATAAAGTCTGTGTTGTTCTCTGAATTATAGCACCAACTCTGGCGATTCTAGCATCGTTTCTCTATAAAATGGCGCTTCTTGCGCTAGCTCTTAAGAAAATGGCGCCTCTGGCCCCAGTTTTGGAGCCAGAATCATGAAATTCTCCATTTTGGCTCCAAATTTCCTCCTTTTTTGCGACTTTTTGCTCCAATTACCTAAAATTGATATACTTGCAACAAAAACATAAAAATACCCTTCTTTAAAATGCAATATCACCAAAATAAGTATGAAATGTATACATGAAATAGTACATTATTTTGGTGTATCAAAATCCCTCAAACTTAAATGTTACTCGTCTTGTTAATGTTTTAAGGTAAGTAATTAGGTCTAATTGGGGTTTAGAATTAATTATGGTTTATTTGTCTTAAACCTAATGTTGTTAAGATTTAATATAATTAATTAGGTCTTATTGAGGTTTAGACCTAATTAGGGTTTTAGTTAAGTTTGGTTTCACTTGGATTAAAGGTAGATGTCTGAGTTTGATTTGAACTATTTGGAATTGGATTCAGGTTTTAACTTAAGCATATGTAGGTTAGACCTAAGTGTTACGTGAGTCAGAACTCAAGGCTTTAGGTTTTGATTTTGAGTCTATACGGGTTAGACCTAATAGTCTTGAAAAGATGACTAAACCCAATATTGATTAGGGTTTAGGCTCACCCTAGAGTTAATTTTAGAAGTTAGACCTAAAGATTAGGTTTTGGTTAATCTTACTAGTCATTCAAGGCCAAGGTTCAAGCCTAAGAACTCCTAGGGTTTTAAATGTAAATTTTAAAATTACAATTTTGAACATAAGTGATAAAAATATCATTTTTAATTTTCCAATGGCTAAAAATTGTCATTTTAGAGTTTAAAATTTTCACTCTAAATTTTCTAACCATTCTAAATGAGTTTAAAATTTTCACTCTAAATTTTCTAACCATTTTCAAATTTAATTTCTAATTTCTTGATTTTTATAATTATTTTTGGAAATAATTACAAAATTTGATAGAAATCGGAAAATTAGACTCTAGAGATTTTTTCGTAGCTTTGAAAAAATCAGGCAATATTCCTAAAGACATAAAGGTTGATCCCTAAAAATTTAAGTTTTTTTTATTTATATTAATTAAAATATTTAAAAATTTATTAAACAATTTTTATTATTTTTCTGCTAATTATTCATCTTTTTTGTTATTTTATTATAACATTAGCATGCATTAATACCATCTTTTCTATTTCATAATAAATAAGTTAGACAATAAACCGACTAAAGCTCATAAAATTAAGCTTGAACACTATCTTGAACACGCTTAATTAATCAAGTTCAAACTCGTAGCTCAAGCTCCAAGATTATAGTTATAACAAAAGATGTATTAAATTTTTAGATAGAGCACATGCCTACTAGAGTCTTTGATATAAAAATAACAACAAAATGTAAAGGCATTTGCATGCATGCTAAACAACTCTTATATATTTAAATAACATTAACACCTAAACTTTCATATTTACATGTCCTTCAAATCTTTAAAATCACACTAAAATCATCACTATTACTAACTTTCTAAAAGTGAAATTCACAATTATCATGCATAAGTTATGACAGCAAGTGCTACAAAGACAAATATGAAAGTTTAGATATTTTAGATGTAAATTTATAACAATTGTGTTGTACGTACGTAAATTTCGCAAGAACAATTATCAGCGCGACTTCAAAAATAAACACTTAATCAACAAAATCCACCTTCCTAGTAAATGACATAAATAGTATCATTATAGTAAAAAAACAAAAAAAAAGGAAATATAAATTAATTAAATACTATTTTACAACAGAATAAAAAATAAAAAAAATTAAGTTTTCATCAAGTACCTTGGTTATGATAAATCTCAACTTTCAAGCTTTGAAGCAAATAACTCGCATGTGATCAAGTCATTCATGGCGGCAGATATTCCAGAAGCTAAAACCGGCAATAGATTGAAATGAGGCACATTGGTTGCATCCATGTTACTGCCTGACTCAGCAAAATCAATGAAAGCCTCGGAAAATATGGGGAAAAGAAAATCTGCTGTGGTGGCTAAATCAGTCGAGAAGTAGAACCTCAGGCTCAAAAAAAAAAAAAAAAACGGTGAATAATACAGAAGAATGTAACAAATAAAAAAGTAATAAATTTATAAATGACATTTATCTATAAATAAAAACAGAATTTGAAATATAATTTAGTTGTTAAAAATCCTGATTCGAATCCTATGCACAAAATTTGTGCCATTGCACTCACCAAGTCAAAAAAAATAAAAGGGGTAAGATTTAGATACATACCACACAATTCCTATTTATTTAAATATCTAACACCTAAATTTCAATTTTTGCATATATACCACCTTACCTATGAATGAAAAGGTATAGTATTTCACTTCTTAAAAGTTAAAATGGTGATATTTTTGATGTGATATGAAAGATTGGGGTGTTATAGATGTAAAGAAGCAAAATTTAGACGTTAGATATGCAAATACATATGAATTGGGTAGTAAGAATTTAAATGCCCCAAAAGCCTCAAAGACAGGAGAAAACAAAGAGAACTTTCAAGTGATATTATATGGAACATAATACAACAACAACAACAACAACAAAGCCTTAATCCCAGTCGGCTACATGAATCCTTTTTCTCCTATTTAGTGCCATATAATTATATGGAAAATAATAATAATAATAATATGGGGCACACTGAATCTAAAAGCTATTGAATTGGCTTGATATTAATGCAATACCCAGAAGTAACAAGTCAAATTTATATTATGCCTAACACTAAAGCTAATACAACTTCGAGATTGACAAAAATTTTACTGGCGATAAACTGATTCAATTTTTTTTACCTTTATGTTCTGTTGGGAAACAAATCAGCATGGCATCTAGCAGAATAATAGCATGAACAAAAAAATGGAGTTTTCAAACCATGACAACTATTATTTAATAAAATGAGTAATCAACTATAATTTACACTAAACTCGACTTGAAATAAAACTAGGGACATCTACATACATACCACCCAATTCTTATGTATATACATATCTAACACCTAAACTTTACTTCTTAATTCATCCCACCCACATATTTCGTATCACATCAAAAATACAACCATTTTAAATTTTAAAGTGAAATACACCTTTCCATGCATAAGTAAGGTGGTATGCATGTAGAATTTGAAGTTTAGGTGTTAGATATGTAAATACATAGGAATTGAGTGGTATGTATGTAAAACTTACAAAATCTAATAACTGAGACTTATGCTAACCACGTTTCCTTTTCTTGAGGTTAGATTATAAGAGCATTCAAAGGGAAATGAATTAGCTTGTACTTCTGTACAGTTCATGTCAAGCAAAATAATATCATCAATAATATAACATCCGTCTCAAAATAAATAAAGACAGTGAGACACATCCTGAATTTTGGTCAAGATATTCTGGCCCAATCATTTCCTTGCGGTAATTTTGGTCAGGATATTCTGGCCCAATCATTTCCTAGTGGTTATATCGCAAAACTATTGCTAGTGGAAAGAAATTAGTCAACATAGCACATATTCAGGTGAATGCATGTTAGGCAGAAAAAAAGAAAAGACATACCACTCAATTATTATGTATTTACATATCTAACACCTAAACTTTATTTTTTACATATATATATGCCACCTTACCTATGCATGAAAATGTGTATTTCATTTTTTTAAAAAGTGATATTTTTTATGTGATATGAAAGATTTGGGTGGTATAAATATAAAAAGTAAATTTTGGTGTAGATCTATAAATACAAAAGAATTGGGTGGCCCGTATGTAAATGCCTCAAAAAAAATCATAACCATGTTGATCCAAAATAACTGTGTAATAGGAAAAACAATAAAAAAAAAAGGAAAAGAAATAGAGAACTTACCTACAAATTTTAAAGATCTGAGTAATAGCACTATTTTTAATGTGATACTAAATATTAGAGTGCTATGTTTGTAAATATGAAAGTTCAAATATGAAAGTTGTTCAAGTGTGAGATATGTAAATACATAAGAATTGTGTGCTATGTATGTAAATGCCTCGAAAAAAAAAAAGGAAAAGAGGCCTTACCTGCAAATCCTGCCAGGAAAATCCATTTTCAGATATAATCTTGTCTATAAGACTAATAAAGAATAATACAATCGCTTTCAAGTGCTTCTGCAAGCTGCCAGAGCGAATAGAGACGAGATCAACATCAACTTCGGATAATATGCTTCCAACATGGTCTTTTGTTCCAGAAATCAGAGCCATGCATATCTTCCCAGGAACAACATTTACCTGGCAACAACGATTATGCCAATCTGAATAACTAAAGCCAGAATAAATCGGTGTAGTTGGACCAGGTTCCTTCAGCATGACTGATTGAACTTCAGATTTACCATTCTCAGCAAGGTGAAGAACAGGTTTCACTTCAACAAGTGCACTGCATGTATTTAAAAAGATAGTAGATCATGAAAACGAGCAAGAATCATAATATTTTGGGGTTGTTTGGGACCACATTTTATTTATGTTTTTCAAATATGTTTTTATTAGAAATAAAACATATTTAGTATGTTATAAAATGTTTAGTTGTTTTAAAAACACTAAGAATAACTTTAGATTATAAAAAAACTAATCTATTTTTGAAAATAAAAAATAAAACAGGAAAAAATTACATTAAAGACCCGTTTCATATCACTTTCGTTTCTTGTTTTTGTTTCATTTTTCTTCTTTTTGAAAACATTTACTGTAGATCTAATTTTTATATACTTTTTATTGAAAAAAACTAATTTATTTTTCAAATGACTCAAAAATACACTACAGGCCCGTTTCATACCATACCCCTTTTATTTCTTTTTTTTGTTTTTTTTTTTTTTTTGAAAACACTTACAGTAGATCTAATTTTTATATATATTTAATTAAAAAAGTATACTAATTTATTTTTAAAATTACTCAAACACCTAAAAGATGTTTGAGTATTTTTAAAAACAACTAACTCAACCAAACATGCTTTAGATTTAAATCAAAACATAAACAAAATAAAATGTAAAATACAAAAAGATCTCAAACAGCCCCTAAACAAATTTAAATAAAAGTGATCTCAAACAAGCCATTGTTAATCAATAAGTTTCCGCTCAAGTTGCCTTAAAATACCCTGAGACAGTTGAAACAATAAGGCCATAAATACTAGTATAGGAAGCATATTAAAATAGATTCTTACCCCTTCGGAAGATTGGGAACTAGAACATATAGGCTAATAGGATTATATTCCCCAAGGAATCCTTCATTATGGGAAGTACGGTACTTCAGGAAATGATGCATTCGATTCTGTAATTCCACCGCCTCAGATGAAGAAAGAGATGCAGAACAATATACAGTAATCCCAATTGCAGAAGTAGCGAGGGAGCTTTTGAAGTAATTGGCCACAGCCTCACAATTAAGCAGAGCCTGATCCATCTCGAGAGCTGGACCTCCAGGGTGGAGTAGCATTGTAGGGGGGTCCAATCCAAGCTGTCCAGCCATGTAAAGAACTTCTTTATGCAGGGTTGCCTAAAAGGAACATAAGGAACAACCATTACAGTAAGTTCATTATCCCACAAGAGGTAGAAACTGAACCAACATGACAAAAGCATCAAAATAGTCTATTGACTCTTTGTAGGTCATTTTAGTTCCCGACTTAACAAAAGTGCCAATTTAGTCTCCGGCATTTACATACATAGCATACAATTCTATTTTATTTACATATCTTACGCCTAAAATTTTATGTTTATACAAATAGCACTCAAATTTTTAATAACACATAAAAAATAGCACTATTATCATTTTTAAAAAGTGAAATATACATTTTCATGGAAAGTTTCAGATCACCAAATGCTAATACTATAAATACGATGAGACATGTAAACAAATAAGAATTGTGTGCGAGGTATGTAAATTTCCCTTTTCTTCTAATATGAGTTCAAATAGTCCCCACGAAGAAATATTTCAACTCCTATTTAAAAGGTCTGGAGATTAATTTGCCACTTTTATATAATAATCTGGGACTAAAATGACTCCTTGTAAATAATACAAGGACTGTTTTGGTATTTTACTCAAACTGATATAATTGAAAGTCATCAGCTGCTACCTGGCTATAAGGTCCAATGCAACTCGGAGCCCAGCATGATATGCTTTGTACATGCAAAACTCTTTTACACCGATCAGTTGACACCAGAACTTCAACATATGCGTTGCCTAGACCGATCTCTGCAATAGGAATCTCAATTGTACTACGCGATGGCACGCCAAAATAGCAATTAGTTTCCGTAATGAAACTCATATAAACATCGTTGGCTACTCCAAATTGTTTCATATCAGAAATGTAGAGGTGGATGTACAAAACATGGGACCAATTGAGCTTATCTTTCCTCAGTTGTAACTCAATCGAATGAAGAACTGCTGCGAGATCTTTCTGCAACCCTGCCAGCACAATTAAAGATAGGGAAATTAAAAAATAAATAAATAAATAAAAAGATAGGGAAATTTATGTCACACAATTATTATGTCTTTACATATCTCACACCTAAACTTTCATATTTACATGCTTGCCATAAACCTATACAGTAGATTTCATTTAAAAAAAAGTATAATAGCGCTAGTTTTGATTTGATGTTAAGGATTTGAGTGCTATGTGTGTAAATATGAAAGTATAGGTGTGAGATATGTAAATACAATAGAATTGTGTGCTATGTATGTAAATGCCCCTCAAAGAAAGGAGGTACGATCAAAGAGGAACTTCTTGACAAATCAGTGAATTTCAAGGCCAAAAAGGTTAAATTTTATACCTTCACAAGGGGTAGAATTTGGAACCCAACAGCCAATGGAAAAGGTGCCCCTTTTGCAAGTTGATATACTCATCTTCGCACTATCAATGGTGTCAAATTTGTCAAATATTACATCCTTAGAATTGCACTTTTTCAAATAGTTTGGCGATAAATCTTCCTTGACATGGAAAACACAGCCTCTTTTCTCTGAAGTAAAATCATTGTTTTCCATATATCTGTATGAAGGATAATCTATTTTGTGCTCCAAATGGAATGCCAATGGATGAACAATACCAACAGGTGCAATTGAATCAGGTGAATGAAGTACTACTTGGAACTTGTCGAGTACAATTCGAGCATTCTGGAAATAAATACAATAGTGTTTCATGGCAAGCTACTAAATGAATGGTACATGGACGTTCTTATAGAAGGCCAACATTTTTTTTTTTTTTTTTGCGGGGGACATGTACATACGTAGCACACAATTCTTGTGTAATTACATATCTCACACCTAAACTTTCATATTTACATACAAAGCACTTTGATGCCTAAATATATTATGCATGAAAGGGTGTATTACACTTTTAAGAAGTGGTAATATGGTTATTTTTTGATATGGTAATAAAGATTTGAGTGATGTGTGTAAATATGAAAATTTGGGTGTGAGATATGTAAGTACGTATGAATTGTGTGATATGTTTGTAAATGCCCTATTTTCTTTACACTTAAGTAAATGCTTTACATGAGCAGGCTATGCAACCACATCAACATAGAGATGAACCATTGTCTGTTTTTAAAGGTAGCAAATAAATAATTCCAGATACTTGAGCGCTGTATAAAATTTCAAGAAAGATGTTCTATGCAGCATTTATCCAATTTTTAATTTTATAGCAGTTAGTTATACAATATTAGGCTCAACTGTCCTATTTAACAATTTCAAAAAGCTAGAAAACATCTTATAAGTAAATGAGCACAAAATAACAACATAAATTAGAAAACTTTTATGATTTTTTCCGTGGTTCATGTTATGGCATTCTTGCAACACATACTTACATGGCTATATAATATAAATGTTTATAATTTACAAAAATTTGTTGTTGCCCCAGGAAAAAAATGTTGACTTCCCAAGGACCAGTGCGATTTGGTAAATAAAACATATACTGAGCTACGGATTCATATGCTGCACAAGGAAACAAATTTGTCACATATTCATGTGCAAACAAGGGAGAGGAGAGCCATAGATTGCTCCCATGAGCAGAACTAAGAGGGAAGCAACAGGTAAATAACAAACAAGGTATATAATGAAATTATTGACAACCGTTTTTCATTTTGAAATTACTGTAATTAGTATTTATCCTTAAGATTGTTTAGTTTTCATTTAATTTATGGGCAGTTTCATGCATAAAAACTCATTGGCGGAATAATGAACCAAGCTTTTCAGCCATTTCTTCTTTCTTACATGATATCAGAGCAATGTTAGAATCATCCTCTTAAACATTTGTTTTTACCTTTTCTTCATTCTTATTATCATCATGTTTCATTTTATTTTTTTTTTTGACTTCCCTTACAAACAAGTCAACCAATATGAATATGATGAAAAACATATTAACGAAGACTTCCAAAGGCTACAAACCTTGTATTATTTGAATGGAGTAAACTACCTAAAATGGTCTCATATTGTGACGACTTCTCTTAAAGAAAAGAGAAAATCCAACATTTCATTGATCCTCCTCTTAACCTAGAAGACCCGATGTCTGCACTTTAAAATTAAGCAAATTTCATGACTATTTCATAGTTATGGAACACCATAATGCATGAAATCAATGAAAAATACTATTACGTCCGTGAAAAATACTATTACGTCTGTAATAAAACCCGCCCTCTTGGACCGGTCGAAAGCCACCCAACCGGCCCGCCACAATAACAGACGGGCCGGACTTTTTCGTGAGAAGAGGCAAGGCAGAAATTTGCCATGGCAAAAGGCAGGGAGCAGGTGGGATCCATGAGAGCTTTAATCACAAACTCAAGGAGAAGGAATTAAAGAAGTTTGGAGGGAAAGTGGGAACGAAAAGTTTGGAATGTTGTGGGAGGATTCTATTAAGGAGAGAACGTAGGGTTTGTTCTTTTTAATGCATGTTTGTGGGATGTTGTGTTTTTCTTCTTCCTGTGGTATTCCTATCGACGTCAAGGGTTGAACTATCGCTTAAAAAGTAGATCATCATTGTATCTGGCATGTTTTCGTTTGTGTTTCGTAAGAACAATTCTTATTTGAATTGTTTCTATCTATCTATTGTCGTTTTGTCAGTTTTGTTTGCTGATTTTGATTCCGGAGCATATCAAATTGATATAAGAGCCTAGATCTTGGTGAGATAGTAATAAAGAAAGTGGATGTGCTAGAAGGAGAGATAGGGCAAATCAGATCGAGAATGAAAGAGAGGTTTGCCACCATGGAGAATAGGTTTTCTTCAATTGAAAGTCAAATGGATTATGGATTAGAGAGCATAGGAGAAATCTGGGAGATGATAAAAAATCTCATAGAGATACAATCCTAGACCGAGTCGATCGCTCCAGTTGCAAACCTTAACCAAGGATTGATCAAGGAATCCTTCGCCAGGTTAAATGGGAAGGAGATTGAGCGAGAAGACGAGGAACACATCATCTATTACCAAGAGCGTCCTCCGGGACTACAAGAGAAGGGGGAGTGGAGACTTCCGGTGGAGGGGGGATGGGCAGAAAATTTGAGGGATGTGAGCACGGTGAAGGAAGAAGGAAATAGAAGCTGGATATGCATATGATCGAAGGAGGGAGTCCCACCCTACACACATGGGGGGAAATAACTGAGGAAGAGGAGGTTGAGGTGGAGATGTAGGGGTCTAAAAATTGAAGATTGCGATCTTCGAATAAGTGGATGCACATGAGTGGGTGTATCACGTGGAGCGATACTTTACAATCAACGAGTTAACTGAGGAAGAGAAGCTCATGACAGCAGGATTATGTATGGAGGGAAAGACATTAGTGTGGTTTCAATGGATTAAGGCAATGTATCTGAGGCACTCATGAGATGAGTTTAAGGATTGCTTGTCGGAGTGTTTCCGAGCCATTCGAGAAGAAGACCTACACGAGCAATTGTAAGCTTTGACTCAAGAGGAGCCGGTTACAGAATACCAGGAGAAGTTCAAGCTCTTGTTAGGAAATTTGAGAGGTGTACTGCAGCAAAACTGGAAGGGAATTTCTTGAAAGGCCTAAAGCCCGACATATGAGCATTCATCCGCCCCTTGAGATCGTGTGGATTGAGAAAAATGATGGAGCTCGACCAAATGAAAGAGGATAAATAAACAGGTAAAAAGGACCAGCAAAGGTGGCAACAATGGAGAATTCTACCAGAGCACCTTTACAGCCACGACACTGAGGACCCAGGCGATGTTATTTCAAAAAGAGACGCTGAACGAGGAGAATACAGGGACCAATTTCAAGAGTAATTTCAAGTCTTGCAGATGCAGAAGTGCATGATAAAATAGCAAAAGAATTATGTTATCACTGTAACGAGAAATATGCCTCAGGTCATCGTTGCAAGAAGCGCGCCTTTCAGATTGTTTTAGCTCAGAAGGATGCTACAAAGAGTAATGAATCAAAGGAGGACACGATGGATGATCATCTGCATTTGGATGTGGTGGAGGAGTCCCTCAATTCGGTAGTGGGATTTACTCCGAACCACACCATGAAGGTGGGGGTGGATCGGGGAACATCCAATTGTGGTATTGGTAGATAGCAGAGCCACACAACTTTATGTCAAATCAGGTCGTAGAGAAGCTAGGGTTAGAGATGGTGATTACATGGAGCTTTGGTGTCATGATGGGGATAAAGAAGGTGGAGAAAAGTTGAGGAATTTGCAAGGGGTTAGTTCTGACATGCTTTGAATAGGGAGACGGTGTTGAGTAAGTTTCTTATTCCTGCAATTGATGATTTACTGGATGACCTTTACGGGGAAGTCATTTTCTTAAAAATTGATCTTAAGTTAGGATACCACCAGATCAGGATCAATCCAACGGATGTGCACAAAACAACGTTCAGGACACATGAAGGATATTATGAGTTCTTAGTGACGTCGTTTGGCCTCACCAACGCCCCGTTGACATTTCAGTCCCTCGTAAATAAGATTTTTCAATCTTATCTCAAAAAATTTATCTTGGCCTTCTTTGATGGCATTCTGATTTATAGGCGTAGAGAGACTAAGCATGTGGGGCACCTAAGGACAGTCGTGGAGACATTGAAGGAACACCGGTTGTATGCCAACTTGAAGAAATGTTCCTTTGCACAGTTACACGTGGAGTATCTAGGGCATTTAGTGACCAGAACGGGAGTATCAGTGGATCAGTCCAAAATCGAGGCTACGGGTCTCACCGGTTACAACCAGAAGTTCGTGAGAAGATATGGCACGATAGCATGGCCACTGACATAGCAGTTGATTAAAAAAACAATTTCAAATGGGGGAACCAACATCTCGATATTAGCACTCCCAGATTTCAGTAAACTATTTGTGGTCAAAAAGGATGTGTCAGGGTACGGGTTCAGAGCAGTGTTCATGCAGGATCAGCTGTTGATTGCCTACTTTAGCCAGGTTCTTACAGTCAGAGCGAGGCTAAAGTCAGTATATGAATGAGAATTGATGGCGATCGTCTTGGCCATTCAAAAGTGACAGCCCTACCTGTTGGGACAATATTTTCTGGTCAGGACAAATCATAGGAGCATGTATCTTTTGGAGCAGCGGATTGAGGAGAATCAGAGATAGCTATCCAAGCTAATAGGATATGATTCCAAATTCAGTACCAACCCGGATTTGAAAACAAGTCAACCGATGCACAATCAAGAAATGTAGGGTAACCCCAATTGACAGTTATATCGGTACCCATTGCCCTAGAGTGGGAAGCCTTGACACAAGAGAGCTAACGAGAGGAGCTGAGGAAGATAAGGGTCGAGCTACTACAGTAGTCAAACAGTCATCCAAGGCATGCATTGAGGGGACAGCAGCTGCTCCACCATGTGCAATTCGTGCTACTCAATACATCGGAATATATTCTCAGATTATTACAAAAGTTTCATAGCAGCGAGATCAGAGGACAATCAGAGCAAAAGATTTACAGTCGTCTGGATTGAGAACAAGACAGACGATGCACAATCGAGAAATGTAAGGTAACCCCAATTGACAGCTATATCGGTACCCATTGCCCTAGAGTGGGAAGCCTTGACACAAGAGAGCTAACGAGAGGAGCTGAGGAAGATAAGGGCCGAGCTACTACAGTATTCAAACAGTCATCCAAGACATGCATTGAGGGGACAGTAGCTGCTCCACCATGTGCGATT